AAGGCTGAGGCGGAAGGATCGCCAGAGCCCAGCAGGGTGAGGCTGCGGTGGCCGGGAGCGTGCCACTGCACTCAGTCTGGGCGACAGAGTGAGACCCCCAACTCAAAAAAAAGAAAAGAAAAGAAACATGAGGTCATTCCACCACCCCAACTTCAAGGGAACAGAACAACACAGCCAATTTTGAACACCACCCTTTCTTTTACCCTCCTTCTCCTCAACTCACTATAGGGTCCAGAGATGGTAATGAGGGACCCAGCCCCTAAAGTTAGTCCTATGCCTCCCACTCACCATGATGTTGTCTTCAGCTCAAACAGATGGTCAGCAACCGCTGTGATGAGATGCTGCCCTAAGAAAAGAGAGCAAGAGACCAGAGAAAAGTGAGGAGCCCACATATTCCCACAATGATAAAATACTCTCACAAGGATAACATCACAGAAATTCTCCTTGTTGACGACCTGCTGGGCCCTGGGTAATACTTTAGACACTTTATTGAAAATCATCATGAAGCTGGGTTTGATGGCTCATGCCTTGTACTCTCAGCACTTTGGAAAGCCAAGGCAAGAAGATCACTTGTGGTTCAAGAGTTTGAGACCAAACTATACAACACATCAAGTTCTAATCTCTACTACAAAAAGTCAGAAAATTAGCCAGGCATGGTAGCGTGCGCCTGTAGTCCCAGCTACTTGGAAGGCTGAGGCAGAAGGATGTCCTGGGCCCAGAAGGTTGAGGCTGTGGTGAGCCATGAATCATGCCACTGCACTCCAGCCTGGGTGGGAGAAAGAGTGAGGCCTCAACTCAAAAACAAAAAAAAAGAAAGAAAATTTAAAAATCATCATCAGAATTCTGCAAGAGGCTTTATGAAACCATTTCACAGATGAGGAAGCCTAGAGAAATCAAGTAACTTGCCCAGGCAATAGAGCATATCAAAAGCAAGATTTGAACTTAAATTCTAATTTGCAGCATTCATTCTTTCATTAAATATTTATTGGATACCTACCACATGCAAGGCACAGGGCTTGACATCAGAGATACAGCAGCATCCCTGATTGATGACAGTGAGGAACAAGAAGAGAAGGAAGAATTGACTATGAAGGCAAAGGGAACAAGACAGTCAAAGCCCTTGAAGAAAAAAGCAGCAGGATATATTCAAGGACTCCAGAGATGGCCAGCATGGCCAGGACAGAAAGCAAAGCAGGGAGGGGCAGCAGATAAGCGCCAGTGCAGGCAGAGATTATTGGCCAAGATAAGGAGTCTGGCTTTCCACAAAGAATGACAGAAGCCTCTAAAGAGCTTTTAAGCAGGGAGTGACATGCTGAGATTCCTGTTTGTTGTTGTTTTTTTGAACTGGAGTCTCATTTGGTTGCCCAGGCTGGAGTGCAGTAGCACGCTCACAGCCACTACAACCTGGACCTCCTGGGCTCAGGTAATCCTTCCATCTCAGCCTTCCAAGTAGCTGGAACTACAGGCATGCACCACCACGTGCAGCTAATTTTTCTTGACTTATTGTAGAGATGAGGACTTGCTGTGTTGCCCAGGCTGGTCTCAAACCCACGGGCTAGGGCAATCCTCTCATCTCGGTCTTCCAAAGTGCTGTGATTACAGGTGTGAGTCACCACTCCTGGCCTGAGATTCTCATTTTGAAAAGACTGTTCTGGCAACTTGAATGGATTTTTTTTTTTTTTTTTTTTTGG